ATACGACACCAATATATTTTTATCATCTGCATGAATCTCAAAGCATGAAACGGATCCTGAGACGATATTTTGAACAAGAAACGTTCCAATCTTAATAAAAAGTCATCTACAGCTCTGATTTCAACAAACTTATAGTCAAACTGATAGACTCGTTGAGACGGATCTAATGATATAAAAACTAGTCCAATCCGAGCTAAATCAAGCTTTGATCAAGTCAATAAACCACCTTTGGAAGATTTTCAGACACATTTGGAAAGTCAAATGACTATCAAATATGATAAGTTTATACTCAAATCGAGCGGCTCGACTAGACGAATCCACCGAGCCTAACCAAATATCACTCAATTTTGACATCATTTAGGCACTCAAATATTCATTAAATGTCGTATGATCGAGGGAAGCTCTCTGAACCGTCTGATCAAAATGGTTCATATTACTACATTAATTGCACCCAGAACACTATAATTAGAGTTTCATCCCTCTCATGAAGGGGAAGAAAGTCTAGAGAGCCTGAGGTCTTGAGGAGAAGTTGCAGCTCAACGACACCATTAATCGTCGTCGACCACCACCAACCTCCATCGTAGACCACCGTCGATCTCCGTCAACTACCACCGTCGACTATTTTCGATCTTACCACCAACCAAACGTCGTCAGTCAACTCTGTAATCTGAAAAATATAGTTACCATTTCTTGTCTGTGGGACGAGAGATTTCTGTAATCATCAATCAAAAGTGAATTTTCGCAACTAGTTCAGGCCCTGTGATTTTTCCCTTTATGGGTTTTCCACATAAAAACCTATGGTGTCACTACTTTATGTTTCTCTTTTATCTGTGTGTTTGTTGAACTTTCGTACAACGCTAAGACGATAATTAGTTACTCTACCGCCACGAGTTTTTTAACACACATCAATATATATATATATATATATATATATATACTATTTTTCTATTTATCAACCCACAACCTTTTTATGATGTGAAAAATGTGAATCTCTCTACTGAAGAGCATCGCTTTCTGCACCTTTTTTTTTATTTTCATGATGCTTAAGGGATCGACTTTTCTGCATTTTTTCAATATGTTTTGGTAACATAAGAGTGGGACAGCTTATTTAAGTAGTTAACTGATTCATTTAACTTGTAAATCATGAAAATTTTGGTAAAATTATTAAATTTATTGGAATGTGTAGTTACCTCTGTAGAAATCATTGCAATCATTTAAAGTAGGTTTAAGAATGAGTCCCCCATTTCACAAATAGTGAAATGGCATCTTTCTTTTTTCGTTTGCAAAGTTGAGCATAACACTATAAATTTGATCAATGATCTTATGATATTTATTATATCCAATGCGTGCCGAAAGATCCATTAACGTAGAGTAATAATTTAACGTTTTAGTGTTGGACAAAAATCCAATATATAGAGATTAAAAAGAATGTGCAATTACCTATAGATCACCTGAAAGTTGATATTTATAAATATACCAGCCTCTTTCAACCATTTTTCAAATTGTCACTTGAATATCAAAATTCATGGCAAAATCCCAACCCGTATTTTTAATTTTTATCATAATCTCAATAATTTGCTCGTGACATAAATACAAATGTTTCGTAGTTAAAAAAATCTCCTTGGGGTTTTAAGTTGTAAATGTCAATGTTTCACATGGTCTATATGTAATTATCCAAAAGAGAAATATGTAGAAGGAGATGACTTGATTTCTTAAGTGGAGAATCCTGAAAATGAAAAAAAAAATCTATGGGGTCCAGCCTAGTTGAAACAATTTACTATGTATTTGTAATTTCATAAGCTTACTCTTCTCTAGTATTAGAGAAAATGAAATTATAATATTGATATACAACGGTAGTTCATCAATAATAGCTATAATGGACAACAAAGATCGTAGTTGATTGCTATGATGAAAGTAACACGAAATGAATGTTATTTATAGTGATTGTAGTGTCAGCTAGGCGATAATTGAAAGCGGTGGTAGTAGTTGGTCATGAAGGTCGCAGATGGTTACTTCTGAAGCTTCGGTTAGCTCAACCGTAGTAAGGAGCCGCAAAAGATATGAGCTGCGTAGGTCGTAATTGGTCACATAGACCATAATGGTGAATTATAATAACTTTTGTAGACTATAGAGATCAGAGTTGTGAGATGCACGACCCGTGTACCACATAGGCCATAATTAGTCATGCAAACCGTAATAGTTAATTGTGACAATGTCATAGGTCACAGAGGTCGGCGTTGTAAGTTGTATGAGTGTGGACCATATGTAGGTCGTAATGGGAAACTGCAAAACTTTCATAAGCCATATAGGCTAAAATTGAGAGCTGCATGAGTTGTGGACCATGTAGGTTGTAGTTGGTCATGTAGGTCGTAGCGAAAAGTTATAATAACGTTTGTAGATCGTAAATGTCAGAATTGAGAGCTGCATGAGTTGTAGATTACGTAGGTCGTGGTTGGTCATATAGACCATATTAGGAAACTGCAATAACATTCGTAGGTCGCAAAGGCTGGAGTTGGGAGCTGCATGAGCTAT